GACGATCCTTCACAGGTGTGGCTAAATACAAAAACAGGAGACTCGTCATGTCATATGTGGGAGCAGACGAATCTTTTGACATAGTGAAAGATGCTATCGTTGACTACGCCAAAGAACGGGGTGTGACCATTACGAATATAATTCTCCTGCGACATTGGGAAAGCTCTAACCCGACCTATACCATCCGTATTGCAGTCCCTGTACAGTGTGCCAAGATAATATTGGACGACAACACATTCTGGCCAGAGAACGTGAACTGCAGAGAATGGGTTCCCCGGAATACATGGTACTCTAATGATAAACAAGGCGAGAGTGAGTATTAACCATGATGCCTTATCTTGCAAGTCTGACCATCTATGGATGTACACTGATGACCCTCGTTAACCTAACGACATGGAACATTCGTGGTATCAAACATGGAACGTCTGAGCTGTGCAATAAACTCGACATATGTGACGTCGTGCTTGTTGCAAAGCACTGGCTAGACATGGAAAATTCACAGTCTCTGGAGACACTACATGACAAATTTAATGTGTATTCTAAATCCAGTTGTGACTCTAACCAGCACCAACGAGGTTATGGAGGTGTAGCCATGTTTGTACGGAAAGGTGACTGGTGTAAAGCTACTCTTATTGACACCCACCACAGCCGCCACGTACTGTGTATCAAACTGCACATCTGTACCAGCCATGTGTATATACTTGGGACTAGACTGCCATCGACAAATGTCCTTGACAGTGTGTACTATGAAGAACTGTACTATGTTATGGAACTTTATGATATTCTCTCTCAAGAATACCCAACATACCTCCTAGGAGACTTTAATACTGATATCAGTCATGGTATTAATATGAAACCCAGGGCTAGGTGCCTCTTACGACTGCTTAGCGAACGTCACCTTTATTTTGTGGTTCCACTTGACGAGTCAAGGTACACTTTCCATAGTAAATGTAACAAAGTAAAATCATTAATTGACTATGTCTTTGTAGACATTGATTCACTAAGCAGTGTAACTGGATATGTCATTGACACTGGCATCCCATATAACATCTCAGATCACCTACCAATACTTGTCTGTATACTTCTTCCTGTACATGTTGGGTACTATCATGGAGAGAACTTAAACTGGACTAAAGCAAGTGAAACTGACCTAATGTTATATCGATATGAAACAGAAAACTACTTTCGTGGAACTGAAATTAACAATGCTCACTTTGATAACAATGTAGACTACATCGAATACTATTGTGATTATATCACAGGCTCCTTACATGCTTCTGCTGCCGGAAGTATTCCATCCACACGCTTTAGGCCATTTCTTAAACCTTACTGGAAGAAAGATGGTCTTAATAATCTGCATAAAGAAATGCAAAATTGTCGCCGTCAGTGGGTTACAAATGGTAAAGTTAGAGATAAAAACGATGCTGCCTATGCAAAATATAAAGAAAGTAAACGGCTATTTCGTAAGAAACATCGCCATGCAAAACACCAGTTAGCTAAAAATAGATTTGATGAAATCTACGAAGCAGCAGAAGTAGATGTTAAAGAATTTTACAAAACGTTACAAACGCTGCAGAGGTAATATTGAAAAACTTACATATGATTCTCAAACTTGCTACGAGGGAAAGGATATTTGCAGTCTGTTTGGACTTTATTTCCATTCACTAGCTACTCCTTCCCCTGATGTAAAATGTGACTATGTACATGCTCAGAATGTGAACGAGCAAATTGCAAATATTGAAACAAGCGATGACATGCAGAACGACATCGGTTCGCCATTGCACTGTCCATTCACTGAAGATGAAATCCATTGTTCAGTAAAACGACTTAAAGTACGAAAGTCGCCTGGTCCTGACGGCATAGTGAATGAGCACATAAAGAAGGCTGGTAGATCGCTGCTGCATCATATTGCCTTACTATTCAATGCCATTATTACGTTTGAATACATTCCTAAATCATTTCCTATAGGTCAAATTCTTCCAATACACAAGGGCAGCGGTAAACCAAAACATGACCCTGCCAATTATAGAGGAATAACCATGACTTCTGTATTAAGTAAACTCTTTGAAAGACTTCTCCTTAACAGAATAGAGTCCTGGATAGATACTAAGATAGAATTTCCCCATCCTCTGCAATTTGGATTTAGGCGTCACTATGGTGCTGAAACCGCCGTACTGACGTTAAAAGAAAACATTGCATATTACAATGAAAGGATGTCGCCTGTATACTGTGCATTCTTAGATAATGAAAAGGCATTTGATCGGGTGTGGCTTGATGGCTTATATATTAAACTGTATGATATTGGAATAACGGGTAAACTATGGAGAATATTAAGGCTCTCTTATAGCTCCATGAAATCATTTGTATGCTTTGAAGGGTTTAAATCGGATACATTCCCCGTCAATCAAGGAGTAGGCCAAGGTAGAGAAATGTGCGCCTGGCTATTCACCTTATTTATTAATGACCTCCTATATGAACTTGGGAATTCAGATTCTGGCTTAATTTTGCCATGGGGTAAATGCCCTGGGATACTTCTTGCTGATGACACTACTCTGATGAGTTCCTCTACCAAAGGCCTGCAAAATCCTCTCGATGTCGCTAAAACTATGCTCATAAGTGGCAGCTAAAATATAATGTAAGCAAGAGTGCGGTTCTACACTTTGAATGCTCAAACAATAACGCTAACATCAGTAATGTATTAATTGGTGATATGCATGTTCCACAAAGGAAATCTATTAAATATGCAGGTGTATATCTCAGTACAGGTAAATCATCACTTGAACGTACAAAAACTGCATGTGAAAAGCTACGAGTACTCATGAACACTAATCATAATAATGGATTGTATTTTGGAGGTCTTAACCCGATATCTGCAGCACGTATCTGGGAGAGGGTAATCTTATCATGTGGCCTCTATGGATGTAACGTATGGGGTAAACTGCCTCTTAAAGAGTATGAAATGCTTGAAGTTGTACAACGACAATTTTGTAAAAAAGTTCAGGGACTACACAAGCGCACTCCCAGTGTTGTTGTATTGGATTGTATCGGTATCATGCCACTACAGTATTACATAGATAAAAGAGCCCTCTACCTATTAGGAAAGTTATGTAATGCAAAGTATAACTGTGTTTTTAAAGTAATGTTTCTAGTTCGCCTTGGTCAATTTATGTGTACAGATAGCTCTACATGCAATGTATATAGTAGAAAATCTCCGATATACAATATGCTGCAACTTGTACATAAGTATAACCTAAATACTATACTAGCTAACTATGTCTTCATCAGTAAGAAATGCTGGTCCAATGCCGTAAATGATGCTACTAAATCTCATCGAGAAAATCTATTTTATGTTCATCTTAATTCAAGACTTAGTCTGTCAAGATATATCAATATAAGATCCAGTAATGAACACTATCTCTGGATGCTAGCTGCAGAGAAGAACGACCAGTTAACTGATATTGCAAGACTTGTAGACTATGGATCAGCTGAAATTGTTTCAAGAGAATGTTCATGTAAAACTGTCGCCAATGATTTTGTAAAGCACGTGTTTATGTCATGTACGATAAATATGAATGACAGAAATGAACTTTTTAACTCCAAATGTGATATTCTGGATGTAGAAACTTTTGTTAAGATCTGGGATCAAGATGATGAAGTTATTCTTGCATTTTTACTTGGTGGATGTCCAATAGCGTGCATATATGGAACTAGAAAGAGATGTATGGGCAAAAGTAATAATTAATGTAAGCCATTTTATAAGGAAATGGCGATACTTGCTAAAATACTTGTATGTATATGAACATGTGTGACTCTATCAATAATCTGTCTTAATCATTTCATGTAAAATATATTATTACCACACATTGTAATCTTCATTCAGTTGGAGGAAATAAAGAATATCTATCTATCTATCCCCATTGCGTAGATCGATGCTCATGCTGTTGATCACTGGATTGTCTGGTCCAGACTCGATTATTTACAGACCGCCGCCAAATAGCTGGAATATTGCTGAGTGCAGCGTAAAACTAAACTAACTCACTAACTCACTAGTCCAACTTTCAACTAGGGCTAGGCAGGGCTTTGTCATCACGCACATCTATGGTCTTCCGGTGACTTGAAAGGTAACATGGGATGACAGTCAATAGCTGTGGGGTGTTCCTCTTTTGCCAATCAGGTAAGTTGTATATTTAGGGATTGAGAGGATTGCTAGACCATGTTAATCAGCAAGACATTGGTAGGGGAGGGTGGGGGATGACAGAGGAGATGAGCAAGCCTAGAAAGACACATGTGGACTATCGTTTGTATTTTATGTTTAGCATACATAAATTGATAAATTACTAATCACAATCATACATACTACAAACCATACATAACTCTACACAATGGTTAGCATTATGTAACTGCGTAAATATAAGAAATTGATAAAGTACTAACCACAATCAGACAATATAGAACAATTGTTTTTATGGATAACAACTTCTTTATTTCGTGAGTTTCGACGTTTCGATACAGATTCTTTTACCGTTGTGACAATCAGACAGTTTATTCAGTAATACCGGCCACATGGCCTATAGTACAATTGAGATTGATTATCATTATAGTCACGTGTTGCTAACATTTGAACAGCTTTCGTGAATTTTAAATACATGTTTTAAGTACAAAGCAAGAGAACGGATACTATACATGTTTTGTGAGCTTAAAATATTTGCCATTGATTGTTTACAACAAGTAATATTTTGTTATTCTGGAAGGTATTTCAGCCTTAACCGTGCATATTTATCACGCTTAAATAACATATGTAACTCATCGTCAATATCACCTGTATTACAATTAGCACAAACAGCATCGTTAAGTTTGAATATATATATCTTTAAGTCTTTGTTTAAATATTTACAGAAACATATCATTACCAACACCCTGGAAAATCCAGGCATGGGAAAAAACCACATAAGAAAAGAAGATGTGTACCATCTGAAGCCCAACACTGTTTTCCATTATCATCAAGCCTCTGTAACATACGGTAACATTTCCATTATTATCCAGCCTCAGTAACATACGGTAACAATGATAGTGATAACGACAGATAGCCATCTTAAGTAACTTTAACCAGTATTTGATAACTCTAAATTGGCTGGAAACAAACAATGAGTAACGGCCAGTTTCCCCAATAACAGCTTTGTTTGAAGCATATTTTCCTATTCCTAGAAAGGTTTTAAAATAAATTAAATGAACTTTTTCAATAACTTCGAAATATTTAACTCCCCAAATTTAGGAACCATATAAAAGTATGGAGAACAGCAATGTAATAACTGAACTTTTACTCCTAAAATAAACAACTTGCCCGACTGGCAAAAGAGGATGAAGGCCGTGTGGGACTAGTAATACAAACAAACCCAGTCGACCATGCCTCATAATCATCTTACTTCTTAAATAAACAACTTGCCCGACTGGCAAAAGAGGATACCACCATAGCTGTCTCCGCTTGAATACACACGATGCTGGAAAATTCCGCACTTACATAGATTCTGGAATAAGTTTTCCAGATCATTCTATGATATTCTCAGGGTCCGATGCCTATAAGCGTGTATGCCGCATACGTCTGAACATAGCACGTGTGTACATATAGCACTCCTGTGTCGCTTACTGAATTCATATACTGGACAAAAATAGTTAGGGATAAATGGAAATTATGAATAATGATCTATTTATTCGTTAACATGCTGATAAAATATCAATGTTTAAATACCAATATCCCTAACTTATTTTGTCCAGTATATTTAACCCTAATCCTGTCTAAGCCTAAGAAGATTATAGATTGAACCTATGTAATGCAGGTAGAAAGAATGTTCGGCAGCTGTGGTTCATATGATATTCTATGGTAAATCCTGAGTCAAGTAAGACAGTTTGAGTGGAGGGTGTGGTCGATCGACCAGCAAGGGGTCAGTCAGACAGTTTGAGTGGAGGGTGTGGTCGATCGACCAGCAAGGGGTTAGTAAGACAGTTTGAGTGGAGGGTGTGGTCGATCGACCAGCAAGGGGTCAATACTGACTATTGTAGTTTGGAAGATTGAGCAATGATCATGCCTTCAGTTTGTTACAGTTAATAACCTACATTATATTATTCCTCCATGTCTTGACATGACTAATACTTGATGATGTATTTCTACATGTTGGTTACCTTGCGAGAGGCTGTCCATTAGCTTGGTATCATCAGCGTAGAGGGAACACTGTCCCAAAATGACCAATGGAGATCTACACATGAGATAGCAACCATGACTTTAGACGAAAATTGTTTAAAATTTTAAAAAATCGTCACCAAGATAGAACTTCTTGAGAAGTGACTTGGCTTCAGCAATGTGGAAAGATGTTATCAGTTTTGGTTTGGTGAGTGAAGCCCTGGTTCACAGAATGACACACGTGAAATATACATTCCGGTGGTTTCATATTGGTGAAATAGGCACGTAATTCCGTGTCTGGCATGACGTCTGTTCTCCGTGGAAGAGTTGAATCTGATGATGTAAGAACTGGAGGAATGTAATCCCTCATATTATCATAATCATATCAGTGACCAAGCTGAGCAGATTTAAAGTGTCGGTGACTTAATGCAGCGGCGTTGGCCCGGAAAAGGGCCATTTCAATTTTAGTGTACCCGGTAAAGTGTCAAACCAGGTACTGTCAGGTATAGCCGGGAAAGCGTCATCATGCTAGTTGCAAAGAACACGGTACGGTTCAATAAAACTCTAAATCATTCAAATTATTTGTCTGTGCCTGGAAAGCCCAATTACACATCACTGGTCCAAAAATATGGCCGGTAAGGCCCCATTGTATTCTACCTATATAATTTGAAAAGTCGGTTTCCCAGTGCCTTAGTGGCTTAGTGCAGCAGTGTTAAGGTGCCGCAGTGGCTTAGTGCAGCAGTGTTACAGTGGCTTAGTGCAGCAGTTTTAAGTGGCTTAGTGCAGCAGTTTTAAATGGCTTAGTGTAGCAGTTTTAAGTGGCACAGTGGCTTAGTGCAGCAGTGTTACAGTGGCTTAGCGCAGCAATGTTACAGTGGCTTAGTGCAGCAGTGTTAAAGTAACACAGTGGCTTAGTGCAGCAGTGTAAAGGTACCACAGAGGCTTAGTGCAGCAGTGCTAAAATGGCTTAGTGCAGCAGTGTTAAAGTACCACAGTGGCTTAGTGCAGCAGTGCTAAAATGGCTTAGTGCAGGAGTGTTAAAGTACCACAGTGGCTTAGTGTAGACGTCTTATATGACGAAAACAGTTTTGAAATAATATTTAACCTCCGACCTCCGCACTTGCATCTACAGGTCAGTCGGGTGAAAACAGGTATTCTCGTGATACCACTGGTATATATCGGGGTATGTGTTCCTGTTATTGTCAATGTCCAAGAGTTTCCTACACATATCACACACAGGTTCGGAAATATACCTAGTATGTTTGTATATCCAAGCTGGAGAAGGGTTGTAGATAACGGTTTCATCCACTGCCATAAACTCATCTTTCCTTTTTAAATATCTAACGTACTCGTCTTTATCTTCGTGTAGCCATTTCAGATATGCCGCCAGATCATTCACACTTGTAAAATCATCCGTATTTATAAACGTGCCCTTTGGGAGACTTTCCAAAAACTGGACCCCTCCCCGTGCTACAAGAATGACATCTTTGTTGTACATATGGAAGAACTTTTCAGTGACGTAGTCTTTACAGAGAGAGTTTTCAAATGCTAGATAGAAGGAATAATTCCTAGATGCCAAGTCTTCACAGGTTTCTGATCCAACTTTACTTCTGTTCCCGCATTTCTTTCCACAGTCTCCAAATATCTCAACTTGGATACCCTGCTCTACCAGTCGCTTGGCAAACTCTTCACGCTTGCTCTGACTTGAACAGTGACTCACCAGCCAACCCGCCATCTTGGTTTTACTTTCTGCTATTTTACGATAATCTTTCCTGGCTGTTTTTTGTTTTTTGCGGATAATTCCGTACGGTAACCACACGTCGGAATCTCGTCGGTAAGTGCAGGTCCAGTTAAAAGAAGCCCTCCATCTGTCCATTCTGTACACACTCGATCTGACGTAGATTGGAGACTCTTGAGCGTAAAACACCCAGGTCTGTTCTGGGTATCTTGGCGGTATATTATTAGCCCTGATTTTATAATGAACATCAAATACAACGGCATCTGCACGAGGTAGCAGTTTCTCGTCCGTTGTTTCCCGACAGTTTAAATGAGGACAGTTCTTCAAGGGACGTAACTCTCCTTCATTTGTAGGTTTGACATAATTTGGTCGCAAATACCACAGTATCAGTTTAGTTGTATTCTTCTCATCACCTGTTGTACTTTCTGGAAATCCTGACCTGATGTTTGATATGTTCAGAGAACCTGAGATGTGGGCAGATCCTGGCATTACGTCATGATACTGAAGATGGATCTTCTTGTCCCTCATGTTTAACTTGACGACATTGGACCACTTCGTCATGCCGGTAGACATCAACTCTTCTGACACCAAGGTTGTCAACACAACCACCACACCAACCCCGAGAACAAGCCGGAAAAGAGCCTTTTTGCTTGGCGATCTGAAGATGTGTATCTGTAAATGGAAGAAAAACGCTTTCTATATTTCAAACACCTACTCTAGGCAGTCATATGAGTTTGTTGGTTAATACTGAGCCTCAGTCAGAAAGTATTGCGTAGCCCTTTGTGGGGGACATGGAGTACGGGGGGAGTCGTGCACTTGAGGAAGGTCACCAAGTGTTTCCAGGTTGCTGTTTGGACACAAGTGATGGTCCATGCTTTGGAACCAACGAGTTGACTGGGAAAAGGTTTCAGTTTCTGTCATAACTGAATGTAGCCACGTGCTTATTTAAAAAAAGTAGTTTGGATTTCGTCTGTCGCTACCAAAATAAATATTACACAACCTTTCATTTTTCATATGATTCTGGTACAGTTCAATATTCGTCAGTTGCTTTATAGAAGAACAAAGTCTGGCTGATAGGTATGTGCCAAACCTCACCGAAGACATCTGTCTGTGACAGGTGCCCCCGGAGTGCAGAAAACACTCACCTGGAGAAAGCGTTCAGGTAAGTGCACCTTCCATACTTTGCGCTGTCTTAACGATAAGGTTGATTTGAACAACGACGGCTTGCTTTGACAGCAATTCACAAACCCATACTCATGTTAAGGCCGGAGTAGGTTAGAACGGACACTATAACTATAAGGGTGTGGATGTCCATGTGGGGCATGCAGTGATACAGTCTATATTGACAATATGTTTGGGTTAGAACGGACACTATAACTGTAAGGGTGTGGATGTCCAGGTGGGGCATGCAGTGATAGAGTCTATATTGACAATATGTTTGGGTTAGAACGGACACTATAACTGTAACTTACTGTAAGGGTGTTGATGTCCATGTGGGGCATACAGTGATACAGACTATATTGACAATATGTTTGGGTTAGAACGGACACTATAACTGTAAGGGTGTGGATGTCCATGTGGGGCATACAGTGATACAGTCTATATTGACAATATGTTTGGGTTAGAACGAACACTATAACTGTAAGGGTGTGGATGTCAATGTGGGGCATGCAGTGATACAGTCTATATTGACAATATGTTTGGGTTAGAACGGACACTATAACTGTAAGGATGTGGATGTCCATGTGGGGCATGCAGTAATACAGTCTATATTGACAATATGTTTGGGTTAGAACGGACACTATAACTGTAAGGGTGTGGATGTCAATGTGGGGCATACAGTGATACAGTCTATATTGACAATATGTTTGGGTTAGAACGGACACTGTAACTGTAAGGGTGTGGATGTCCTTGTGGGGCATGCAGTGATACAGTCTATATTGACAATATGTTTGGGTTAGAACGAACACTATAACTGTAAGGGTGTGGATGTCCATGTGGGGCATGCAGTGATACAGTCTATATTGACAATATGTTTGGGTTAGAACGGACACTATAACTGTAAGGGTGTGGATGTCAATGTGGGGCATACAGTGATACAGTCTATATTGACAATATGTTTGGGTTAGAACGGACACTGTAACTGTAAGGGTGTGGATGTCCTTGTGGGGCATGCAGTGATACAGTCTATATTGACAATATGTTTGGGTTAGAACGGACACTATAACTGTAAGGATGTGGATGTCCATGTGGGGCATGCAGTAATACAGTCTATATTGACAATATGTTTGGGTTAGAACGAACACTATAACTGTAAGGGTGTGGATGTCAATGTGGGGCATACAGTGATACAGTCTATATTGACAATATGTTTGGGTTAGAACGGACACTGTAACTGTAAGGGTGTGGATGTCCTTGTGGGGCATGCAGTGATACAGTCTATATTGACAATATGTTTGGGTTAGAACGAACACTATAACTGTAAGGGTGTGGATGTCCATGTGGGGCATGCAGTGATACAGTCTATATTGACAATATGTTTGGGTTAGAACGGACACTATAACTGTAAGGGTGTGGATGTCAATGTGGGGCATACAGTGATACAGTCTATATTGACAATATATTTGGGTTAGAACGGACACTGTAACTGTAAGGGTGTGGATGTCAATGTGGGGCATGCAGTGATACAGTCTATATTGACAATATGTTTGGGTTAGAACGGACACTATAACGGTAACTTACTGTAAGGATGTGGATGTCCATGTGGGGCATACAGTGATACAGTCTGTATCGACAATATGTTTGGGTTAAAACGGACACTGTAACTGTAAGGGTGTGGATGTCAATGTGGGGCTTGCAGTGATACAGTCTATATTGACAATATGTTTGGGTTAGAATGAACACTATAACTGTAAGGGTGTGGATGTCCATGTGGGGCATACAGTGATACAGTCTATATTGACAATATGTTTGGGTTAGAACGGACACTATAACTGTAACTAACTGTAAGGGTGCGGATGTCAATGTGGGGCATGCAGTAATACAGACTATATTGACAATATGTTTGGGTTAGAACGGACACTGTAACTGTAAGGATGTGGATGTCCATGTGGGGCATGCAGTAATACAGTCTATATTGACAATATGTTTGGGTTAGAACGGACACTATAACTGTAACTTACTGTAAGGGTGTGGATGTCCTTGTCGGGCATGCAGTAATACAGTCTATATTGACAATATGTTTTGGTTAGAACGGACACTGTAATTGTAAGGGTGTGGATGTCAATGTGGGGCATGCAGTAATACAGTCTATATTGACAATATGTTTGGGTTAGAACGGACACTATAACTGTAACTTACTGTAAGGATGTGGATGTCCATGTGGGGCATACAGTGATACAGTCTATATTGACAATATGTTTGGGTTAGAACGGACACTATAACTGTAACTGTAAGGGTGTGGATGTCCATGTGGGGCATGCAGTAATACAGTCTATATTGACAATATGTTTGGGTTAGAACGAACACTATAACTGTAAGGGTGTGGATGTCCAGGTGGGGCATACAGTGATACAGACTATATTGACAATATGTTTTGGTTAGAACGGACACTGTAACTGTAAGGGTGTGGATGTCCTTGTGGGGCATACAGTGATACAGTCTATATTGACAATATGTTTGGGTTAGAACGAACACTATAACTGTAAGGGTGTGGATGTCCATGTGGGGCATACAGTGATACAGTCTATATTGACAATATGTTTTGGTTAGAACGGACACTGTAACTGTAAGGATGTGGATGTCCTTGTGGGGCATGCAGTGATACAGTCTATATTGACAATATGTTTGGGTTAGAACGAACACTATAACTGTAAGGGTGTGGATGTCCAGGTGGGGCATGCAGTTATACAGTCTATATTGACAATGTGTTTGGGTTAGAACGGACACTATAACTATAAGGGTGTGGATGTCCATGTGGGGCTTGCAGTGATACAGTCTATATTGACAATATGTTTGGGTTAGAACGGACACTATAACTGTAACTTACTGTAAGGGTGCGGATGTCCATGTGGGGCAAGCAGTGATACAGTCTATATTGACAATATGTTTGGGTTAGAACGGACACTATAACTGTAAGGGTGTGGATGTCCATGTGGGGCATGCAGTAATACAGTCTATATTGACAATATGTTTGGGTTAGAACGGACACTATAACTGTAACTAACTGTAAGGGTGTGGATGTCCTTGTGGGGCATACAGTGATACAGTCTATATTGACAATATGTTTGGGTTAGAACGGACACTATAACTGTAACTAACTGTAAGGGTGTGGATGTCCATGTGGGGCATGCAGTAATACAGTCTATATTGACAATATGTTTGGGTTAGAACGGACACTGTAACTGTAAGGGTGTGGATGTCAATGTGGGGCATGCAGTAATACAGTCTATATTGACAATATGTTTGGGTTAGAACGAACACTATAACTGTAAGGGTGTGGATGTCAATGTGGGGCTTGCATTGATACAGTCTATATTGACAATAAGTTTGGGTTAGAACGGACACTGTAACTGTAAGGGTGTGGATGTCAATGTGGGGCATGCAGTTATACAGTCTATATTGACAATATGTTTGGGTTAGAACGAACACTATAACTGTAAGGGTATGGATGTCAATGTGGGGCATGCAGTGATACAGTCTATATTGACAATATGTTTGGGTTAGAACGAACACTATAACTGTAAGGGTGTGGATGTCAATGTGGGGCATGCAGTAATACAGTCTATATTGACAATATGTTTGGGTTAGAACGGACACTATAACTGTAACTAACTGTAAGGGTGTGGATGTCCTTGTGGGACATGCAGTGATACAGTCTATATTGACAATATGTTTGGGTTAGAACGGACACTATAACTGTAAGGGTGTGTATGTCCATGTGGGGCATGCAGTAATACAGTCTATATTGACAATATGTTTGGGTTAGAACGGACACTATAACTGTAACTAACTATAAGGGTGTGGATGTCCTTGTGGGGCATACAGTGATACAGTCTATATTGACAATATGTTTTGGTTAGAACGGACACTATAACTGTAACTAACTGTAAGGGTGTGGATATCCATGTGGGGCATGCAGTAATACAGTCTATATTGACAATATGTTTTGGTTAGAACGAACACTATAACTGTAAGGATGTTGATGTCAATGTGGGGCATACAGTGATACAGTCTATATTGACAATATGTTTGGGTTAGAACGGACACTATAACTGTAACTTACTGTAAGGGTGTGGATGTCTATGTGGGGCATACAGTGATACAGACTATATTGACAATATGTTTGGGTTAGAACGGACACTGTAACTGTGAGGATGTGGATGTCCATGTGGGGCATGCAGTGATACAGTCTATATTGACAATATGTTTGGGTTAGAAGTGATGTACACTGCATTTGATGCGGTGTGGGTATTCAGTGCACATTTTTGGTGGTGCGGTCACTCTTTCTGATGCACATTCTACATTTCCTCCCGGATTGTTCAGTGAAAGTCTTTCCATCGTGGATCGACCAGTGGAACAACAACAAACCCCATCCCCACCTCCCATCCCCCTCCCCCAACACACACGCACACACACACTTAGTCATTCCACCTTTAGTAAGATCAGATATAAACCGCTGCATCGTTGATCTATCAGTGGAATGGGTTTCTACCCTTGTAGTAAAGACCGATATAAGATATAAACCGTTCCATCGTGGATTGATCAGTGAAATGGCTTTTCTCCCTTTTAGTAAAGACACCTATAAACCGTTCCATCGTGGATCGATAAGTAGAATGGGTTTTCCCCCTATTAGTAAAGACAGATATAAACCGTTTCATCGTGGATCGATAAGTAGAATGGGTTTTCCCCCTATTAGTAAAGACAGATAAAAACCGTTTCATCGTGGATCGATAAGTAGAATGGGTTTTCCCCCTATTAGTAAAGACAGATATAAACCGTTTCATCGTGGATCGATAAGTAGAATGGGTTTCCCCCCTTTTAGTAAAGACAGATATAAACCGTTTCATCGTGGATCGATAAGTAGAATGGGTTTCCCCCCTTTTAGTAAAGGCATAAAAACCGTTCCATCGTGGATCGATAAGATGAATGGGTTTTCCCCCCTATTAGTAAAGACAGATATAACCGTTTCATCGTGGATCGATAAGTAGAATGGGTTTTCCCCCTATTAGTAAAGACAGATATAAACCGTTTCATCGTGGATCGATAAGTAGAATGGGTTTCCCCCCTTTTAGTAAAGGCATAAAAACCGTTCCATCGTGGATCGATAAGATGAATGGGTTTTCCCCCTATTAGTAAAGACAGATATAAACCGTTTCATCGTGGATCGATAAGTAGAATGGGTTTTCCCCCTATTAATAAAGACTGATATAAACCGTTCCATCGTGGATCGATCAGTAGAATGGGTTTCCCCCCTTTTAGTAAAGACAGATATAAACCGTTTCATCGTGGATCGATAAGTAGAATGGGTTTCCCCCCTATTAGTAAAGACAGATATAAACCGTTTCATCGTGGATCGATAAGTAGAATGGGTTTCCCCCCTTTTAGTAAAGGCATAAAAACCGTTCCATCGTGGATCGATAAGATGAATGGGTTTTCCCCCTATTAGTAAAGACAGATATAAACCGTTTCATCGTGGATCGATAAGTAGAATGGGTTTTCCCCCTATTAATAAAGACTGATATAAACCGTTCCATCGTGGATCGATCAGTAGAATGGGTTTCCCCCCTTTTAGTAAAGACAGATATAAACCGTTTCATCGTGGATCGATAAGTAGAATGGGTTTCCCCCCTTTTAGTAAAGACAGATATAAACCGTTCCATCGTGGATCGGTCAGTGGAATGGGTTTCCCCCCTTTTAGTAAAGACAGATATAAACCGTTCCATCGTGGATCGGTCAGTGGAATTGGTTTCCCTCCTTTTAGTAAAGACAGATATAAACCGTTTCATCGTGGATCGATAAGTAGAATGGGTTTTCTCCCTTTTAGTAAAGACAGATATAAACCGTTCCATCGTGGATCGGTCAGTGGAATTGGTTTCCCCCCTTTTAGTAATGACAGATATAAACCGTTTCATCGTGGATCGATAAGTAGAATGGGTTTTCTCCCTTTTAGTAAAGACAGATATAAACCGTTCCATCGTGGATCGGTCAGTGGAATTGGTTTCCCTCCTTTTAGTAAAGACAGATATAAACCGTTCCATCGTGGATCGGTCAGTGGAATGGGTTTTCCCCCTTTTAGTAAAGACATATAAACCGTTCCGTCGTGGATCGATCAGTGGAATGGTGTTTCCCTCTTTTAGTAGAGACATATAAACCGTTCCGTCGTGGATCGATCAGTGGAATGGGGTTTCCCTCTTTTAGTAGAGACATATAAACCGTTCCGTCGTGTCAGTGTACCTGGAGTCCTGGAGGTAATGCCACGTGTTTGGCGCAGTGCATCTTCCTCAACCTCCACATTGTCTTCTCTACGTTGTTGATGTCGCACTGATCTGCAGCAGAAAACATGATTTTACCAAACATCTTATCAATATATTAAGCTGATTGTTTATAATTTCACACGTAAGAAATGATCTGCCAGGACATCTACTGAAAAGAAAACCATTTACTTCATGGATCGATAATGAAATGAAAGTGAACGAATATTGTTGCATGACACATCAAACGAATGTCGAGACGCATGCTGTAAATATAGTTATAGCAGAGGACGACAGGTGAAGGTCGCTATGACGTGATGACCCATGAATCATTCAGGGCCCGGTTGTTCAAAACTCGGTTATCTTTTAACCAGCCGTTAAATACATTTAACCGACTGTTACCTAATAACAGAGGGTTATCTTGTTGTTCAAAACTCTGTTAACTTTTAACAGGATGTTAACCTGACGTTAAGTTAACACACCTAAGGACCGCCGCTAACTTTTTAACAGTGTGGTTAACTCGCAAATGGCGTTCATGGCTAACACTGCTTTCATGATGCCAGTTCAGCAAAGAAAGGATAGGGTGTATCGTGGACTGGACTTCGATATTGGAAATTATTCTGACGAAGAGTTACATACGAAACTGTATCTATGCACATCATAGGAACTAAAATACATGTTGTACAAGTAGGCCTACATGACGCCTACGTTTCATGTTTTAACACTTGTGGAAAGGTTTATATATTCTTTACTACACTAAATGTGTGAATTTCTTCTGTAAATATTATTCAAACAAACACTTTCAAAGAATATAACACGTACACCCCATACCCAAGTATGATATGATATTGAACAAGGCTACATGTAGATAATTAAATTAGTTTCATGAAAACATATCCGAACGATTACATTATGATACTGAAAGTGTAATCGGCGGGATATGGTGATTGTGTATACTCTTATTCTACCGACCTTCACCTCAGAGAAATTGCCAAATACACTCCCATTTTAAGAAAGAGAAGAAGCCAGAAATGCCGATTATTGCCTTTGTTGTTCTGCGTGATTTTGCGTCAGTCATGGCGTCACGCAGCACAGAAACTTGACAGTTTTGTGTAAACACATCACATTCCTGTATTGCATCTATTTTTAATTTCCTATTTCTTGCTACTATGCTCTTCCCATGCAAATGTCTGAAAATTTGAGAAAATGCTACACAGTGTAAAGTCTGAAATTTTCTTTGTTTACTATTCAAACAGGTATCTTTCGAGCACAGCAGTTGTTTCCACCCCCAATATCTTTCGTTTCACTTTATCTAGACACTTGGTATTGGTGCCAAAAAGACCAGTTGTAATTAGATTCTAAAACGTATGAGGAATTCAGTAGGGCTGGGACGAGTAGGAAACAATGGAATCGAGTACCCGCATGTACGTACCCGAATCGGAATCGAGTACCCGGAAATGTAAGAAATACATTCGGGTCAACTTTCTGAATATTCAATCACGATTTGACAGAGATTATTGCAGAAAACTTGAACAGTTGGTAATAAGACATTAAAACTGACCTCAAGCTATTTAATTTACGTCTGTTTAACCAATATAGAGAGTAACACCATTACTTACATTCCTCGTTATAACAACGAACGTTTTGTTCCTGCTGCTACTGTAACTTAACTACTCACTGCTCATGCACAGATAAATTACAGTCATTAAAACTATGCTCCATTAATCGGACAATACCAATGATGTAAAAACCCGTGAATTTCCGGGTTAGAATATGGATCTTCAGTAACCCATGCTTGTCGTAAGAGGCGACTAACGGGATCGGGTGGTCAGACTCGCTGACTTGGTTGACATATGTCATCGGTTCCCAATTGCGCACATCGATGCTCATGTTGTTGATCACTGGATTGTCTGGTCCAGACTCGATTATTTACAGACCGCCGCCATATAGCTGGAATATTGCTGAGTGCGGCGTAAAACTCAATTCACTCACTCGCCCACTCACTCAATGATGTAAATGTGTGTTACGTCAAAAATGAAAAAGTCTGCCCTTGTCATTACAGAGCTCTCTCCCTTTCCGGATAATCGATTCCTAGAAATAGGACTCGATTCCAGCTGTACCCGACCCGGATTGGAGTACCCGAGTACCAGTCCCAGCCTTAGAATGCAGTGATTCATTTGTCGCCGCTGAATATGAAATATAAGTGATGTAATTGGCGTTTCAATACCGGCCTTCGCGAAACGTGATTTTGTAAACACTATCCAATAGGGCGCAACGTGCACTTGGGCGTTCGTGTGAGTGTATTTATGAAAACATCTGAACACGATTCCAGGCTTATCGGCAACGTTTCAGAATTATTAGTGATTTTATTAAAAACTGATATCATTGTTAATGAATATGCTATTTTTGAAAGTCTATACACAAGTAATTATCCGATTTTGTTTTGATATGTCCGTCTGGCATCCCTTCCCATAGATGGATTTTAATTATATTTTTACTAATCATTTCAGCAATAGGCCTAATTTCTTTTTCATTCTTCGAATGTTTAAATTGAAGCAAATCATCGTTTAAAAATGCTGTATTAATTGATGAAAACTTAAATAAACATAACATTATTATGTATCTATTTCTGTTGTGAGTGATATGCAGGCCTACTTCGTAGTCACTTTGATTAAATGTTATATTTGAATATCGAAACTTTTTTGTCACAGCGAACACAACACTATCTCTTGTCATTTTACACGATAATATTTGGAATTTTTAACTTATTTTATAACAATGTCTGAATGCTAATGTTATACACTGATAGGTTCATATAAGGAATACTATGGCACAATAGTATTTCTCTGCCAAATCGTTGCAGCGTTCTATAATACACTTATGAAATATAATACATGTTTTCCGTCCTTGAAGACATTGAAAAGAACTATTTATGCATTAAATGGAGGTTCACCTGATTAATGAGTATCGAGGAAATTATGTTTATCTACTACGGCCTTCTATAATGCACTTATGAAATATAATATATGATTTCCGACCGTGAAGTCATTAACAAGAATTATGCATTTTCTGCAGTCACTTGTTAATTGAACTAAATGAAGGTTCATCTGATTAATGAGTATCGAGGAAATTATGTTCATCTATAAATTAGACGCAGCTTCATGTTTTTCAAGACATCTTTCCGGATTATGCGTCTGTGAAGGCGTTCAGATAATGACGATATTGCACAGTATCATTAATGAGATTCTTGTCAAAAGTAAGGTCGGATAATAGATCGATTTTATTCAGCAGTGTTGGCCCTGGGGCCTATAGTACGATTACAGTTTGATTACTTGCACGTGGTGCTAGTAAATTATTAAGTTTCTATTGGTATTGAATGCATATTTCAGATAAAAGCTATGGTATTAATTACACAACATCTATATTGTTTGATGTTAAAAGATTTGGCAATGTGTGTTCATACATTACAATTTTTGACAGACTTGGCAAATTATCAATAAATGATATTGATAGCATCTTCACGACTTGGCCATACAGTCATGACAATTTAAGGAGTGAAAAGTAAGCGATAGGTCTTGTGGGAATTCGAAGATTCATTAAGACTGTAGCCGTCTTAGCGTAACTCTGTGTGTAATATTTATACATTTTCTATCCACGGACAACATGCTTCTAATATTAAGAGTTGGCCTCAACCATTGACTGGATTACATTCTCTTCGTCAGCAGAGAAATTTCGACTTCTCTTTTTCCTTGGGGTGCAGGCGACATTTTGCGTTTCCATTTTTGGTAAACCTGAAGTAAACTGAAAACGGAACTATGGGATATGTGGAGTTAACCAGTGACGTTAACCACACTGTTAAACTTTGACGGCGACGTTAGCTAACGGCATGACTAACCATGTTTTGAACAACGCATATTTAACGTTCGGTTACCTAACGGCCGGTTAAGGATTTAACCGGCCGTTAGGAGTTAACCGGCGGTTAAGATAACCGAGTATTGAACAACCGGGCCCAGGTGTACAATAACAATTGACGTGATGACCCATGAATCATCCAGGTGTACAATAATAATTGACGTGCTGACCCATGAATCATCCAGGTGTACAATAACAATTGACGTGATGACCCATGAATCATCCAGGTGTACAATAACAATTGACGTGATGACCCATGAATCATCCAGGTATACCCATGCTTGTCGTGAGAGGCGACTAACGGGATCGGGTGGTCAGGCTCGCTGATTTGTTTGACATGTCTTCGGTTCCCAATTGCGCAGATCGATGTTCATGATGTTGATCACTGGATTGTCTGGTCCAGACTCGATTATTTACAGACCGCCGCCATATAGCTGGAATATTGCTGAGTGCGGCGTGAAACTTAACTTACTCACTCACTCATCCAGGTATACAATAACAATTGACGTGATGACCCATGAATCATCCAGGTTTGCAATAACAATAAAAATACCTACCTCAACAGCAGCGTGAGAAGTATGACCTTTTTTCAAATTTCAGGTACTACTTCCTCCAACAGTTTGAAGATAAAACAACAGCTCACGGCTAAATCCGACGTGGTAGTAAATACATATTATTAAAAAATGTTATAAACACTGGCAGCACCATGAATGATGGCTTGTCTCCGGTTGTGTGAAGGAACAGTCACTCGTATGTCCGGGTAAGGAGGAAGAGGACTTTCGCTGCAGTCGTCCACGGCGTCGTCTTCCCGGATTACCCCTCATAATCCAGTTAATCCACCACACACGAGGAAGCAATTATTCCTTGAACAATGATCAGCGTCTTCCTTCTTGATCCACGGCTAACTACCCATTACAACTGTTAGCAACATTAAAGTGGGAATAACTGATTCTACAGGAGAAGATGAGCAACCTAGTCTAGAGATTATTATTTGACAAATAGTTCCTACACGGTATTGGAACTTGTACAGTGACACAGGTAACCCATTCATGGAACATGGTCGGATAAACACAAATGAAAGACCTAAGTTGTATATACTACTTGTTCTCAACCCATTGATAGTTTTAGGATTGGTTTATACATGTCATACAAGAGTACTGGACAGGTGAGCAGCAGAGTCCGTGTAAGGATCAGAACAGTTTGGTCAGCTCTGTCCTGTTCGCATATTCCCAAAATGTTGAAGAGGGAAACACACAGGTTCCGGGTTGGTCGAATTTCACACACTTATGTAAATAAATGCAATTTTTAACAAGTTTTATATGAATTGACATCAATCGATCAATCGATAAAGTAATGAGAAATTGCAACATCACCAAACCTGCTACAGGAATCATCGTGGGATCACACCCTGTCACTACACACTGCAACATCACCAAACTTGCTACAGGATTCATCCTGGGGTCACACCCTGTCACTACACACTGCAACATCACGCAACCTGCTAGAGGATTCATCGTGGGGTCACGCCCTGTCACTACACACTGCAACATCACCCAACATGCTACAGGATTCATCTAGGGGTCACACCCTGTCACTACACACTGCAACTTCACCCAACATGCTACAGGATTCATCTAGGGGTCACACCCTGTCACTACACACTGCAACATCACCCAACTTGCTACAGGATTCATCTAGGGGTCACACCCTGTCACTACACACTTCAACATCACCCAACATGCTACAGGATTCATCGTGGGATCACACCCTGTCATTGCACACTGTAACATCATCCAACTTCCTACAGGATTCATCTAGGGGTCACACCCTGTCACTACACACTGCAACATCACCCAACTTGCTACAGGATTCATCTAGGGATCACACCCTGTCACTACACACTGCAACATCACCAAACTTCCTACAGGATTCATCTAGGGGTCACACCCTGTCACTACACACTGCAACATCAACAAACCTGCTACAGGATTCATCGTGGGGTCACGCCCTGTCACTGCACACTGCAACATCACCAAAATTGCTACAGGATTCATCCAGGGGTCACACCCTGTCACTACACACTGCAACATCAACAAACCTGCTACAGGATTCATCCAGGGACCACACCCTGTCACTACACACTGCAACATCACCAAAATTGCTACAGGATTCATCCAGGGATCACACCCTGTCACTACACACTGCAACATCAACAAACCTGCTACAGGATTCATCCAGGGATCACACCCTGTCACTACACACTGCAACATCACCAAAATTGCTACAGGATTCATCCAGGGACCACACCCTGTTACTACATACTGCATTATCACCCAACTTGCTACAGGATTCATCCTGGGGTCACACCCTGTCACTACACACTGCAACATCACCCAACATGCTACAGGATTCATCGTGGGATCACACCCTGTCATTGCACACTGTAACATCATCCAACTTCCTACAGGATTCATCTAGGGGTCACACCCTGTCGCTACACACTGCAACATCACCCAACTTGCTACAGGATTCATCCTGGGGTCACACCCTGTCACTACACACTGCAACATCACCCAACATGCTACAGGATTCATCCTGGGGTCACACCCTGTCACTACACACTGCAACATCACCCAACTTGCTACAGGATTCATCTAGGGGTCACACCCTGTCACTACACAATGCAACATCACCCAACATGCTACAGGATTCATCGTGGGGTCACACCCTGTCACTACACACTGCAACATCACCCAACTTGCTACAGGATTCATCTAGGGGTCACACCCTGTCACTACACACTGCAACATCACCAAACTTCCTACAGGATTCATCTAGGGGTCACACCCTGTCACTACACACTGCAACATCACCAAAATTGCTACAGGATTCATCCAGGGATCACACCCTGTCACTACACACTGCAAAATCAACAAACCTGCTACAGGATTCATCGTGGGGTCACGCCCTGTCACTGCACACTGCAACATCACCAAAATTGCTACAGGATTCATCCAGGGATCACACCCTGTCACTACACACTGCAACATCAACAAACCTGCTACAGGATTCATCCAGGGATCACACCCTGTCACTACACACTGCAACATCACCAAAATTGCTACAGGATTCATCCAGGGACCACACCCTGTCACTACATACTGCATTATCACCCAACCTGCTACAGGATTCATCCAGGGATCACACCCTGTCACTACACACTGCAACATCACCCAACATGCTACAGGATTCATCCAGGGATCACACCCTGTCATTGCACACTGTAACATCATCCAACTTCCTACAGGATTCATCTAGGGGTCACACCCTGTCACTACACACTGCAACATCACCCAACTTGCTACAGGATTCATCCTGGGGTCACACCCTGTCACTACACACTGCAACATCACCCAACATGCTACAGGATTCATCCTGGGGTCACACCCTGTCACTACACACTGCAACTTCACCCAACATGCTACAGGATTCATCTAGGGGTCACACCCTGTCACTACACACTGCAACATCACCCAACTTGCTACAGGATTCATCTAGGGGTCACACCCTGTCACTACACACTGCAACATCACCCAACATGCTACAGGATTCATCGTGGGATCACACCCTGTCATTGCACACTGTAACATCATCCAACTTCCTACAGGATTCATCTAGGGGTCACACCCTGTCACTACACACTGCAACATCACCCAACTTGCTACAGGATTCATCCTGGGATCACACCCTGTCACTACACACTGCAACATCACCAAACTTCCTACAGGATTCATCTAGGGGTCACACCCTGTCACTACACACTGCAACATCAACAAACCTGCTACAGGATTCATCGTGGGGTCACGCCCTGTCACTGCACACTGCAACATCACCAAACTTCCTACAGGATTCATCCAGGGATCACACCCTGTCACTACACACTGCAACATCAACAAACCTGCTACAGGATTCATCCAGGGACCACGCCCTGTCACTACACACTGCAACATCACCAAAATTGCTACAGGATTCATCCAGGGATCACACCCTGTCACTACACACTGCAACATCAACAAACCTGCTACAGGATTCATCCAGGGATCACACCCTGTCACTACACACTGCAACATCACCAAAATTGCTACAGGATTCATCCAGGGACCACACCCTGTCACTACATACTGCATTATCACCCAACTTGCTACGGGATTCATCCTGGGGTCACACCCTGTCACTACACACTGCAACATCACCCAACATGCTACAGGATTCATCGTGGGATCACACCCTGTCATTGCACACTGTAACATCATCCAACTTCCTACAGGATTCATCTAGGGGTCACACCCTGTCACTACACACTGCAACATCACCCAACTTGCTACAGGATTCATCCTGGGGTCACACCCTGTCACTACACACTGCAACATCACCCAACATGCTACAGGATTCATCCTGGGGTCACACCCTGTCACTACACACTGCAACATCACCCAACTTGCTACAGGATTCATCCTGGGGTCACACCCTGTCACTACACACTGCAACATCATCCAACTTCCTACAGGATTCATCTAGGGGTCACACCCTGTCACTACACACTGCAACATCACCCAACTTGCTACAGGATTCATCTAGGGTCACACCCTGTCACTACACACTGCAACATCATCCCAACTTCCTACAGGATTCATCGTGGGGTCACACCCTGTCACTACACACTGCAACATCACCAAAATTGCTACAGGATTCATCCAGGGTCACACCCTGTCACTACACAACATCACTGCAACATCACTACACACTGCAACATCACCAAAATTGCTACAGGATTCATCCAGGGATCACACCCTGTCACTACACACTGCAACATCAACAAACCTGCTACAGGATTCATCGTGGGGTCACGCCCTGTCACTGCACACTGCAACATCACCAAAATTGCTACAGGATTCATCCAGGGATCACACCCCTGTCACTACACACTGCAACATCAACAAACCTCTACAGGATTCATCCAGGGACCACACCCTGTCACTACACACTGCAACATCACCAAAATTGCTACAGGATTCATCCAGGGATCACACCATGTCACTACACACTGCAACATCAACAAACCTGCTACAGGATTCATCTAGGGGTCACACCCTGTCACTACACACTGCAACATCACCAAAATTGCTACAGGATTCATCCAGGGACCACACCCTGTCACTACATACTGCATTATCACCCAACTTGCTACAGGATTCATCCTGGGGTCACACCCTGTCACTACACACTGCAACATCACCCAACTTGCTACAGGATTCATCCTGGGGTCACACCCTGTCACTACACACTGCAACATCACCAAACTTGCTACAGGATTCATCCTGGGGTCACACCCTGTCACTACACACTGCAACATCACCCAACTTGCTACAGGATTCATCTAGGGGTCACACCCTGTCATTACACACTGCAACATCACCCAACTTGCTACAGGATTCATCTAGGGGTCACACCCTGTCACTACACACTGCAACATCACGCAACCTGCTAGAGGATTCATCGTGGGGTCACACCCTGTCACTACACACTGCAACATCACCCAACTTGCTACAGGATTCATCTAGGGGTCACACCCTGTCACTACACACTGCAACATCACCCAACATGCTACAGGATTCATCGTGGGATCACACCCTGTCATTGCACACTGTAACATCATCCAACTTCCTACAGTGGGGCCACTATACTGAGAAAGTGTAATCCCAGATATAACAGGTGTGACATGTGACCACTTTACTGAGAAAAGTGTAATCCCAGATATAACAGGTGTGACCATTGACCACTTTACTGAGATAGTGTAATCCCAGATATAACAGGTTTGACATGTGACCACTTTACTGAGAAAGTGTAATCCCAGATATAACAGGTGTGACATGTGGCCACTTGACAGAGAAAGTGTAATCCCAGATATAACAGGTGTGACATGTGACCACTTTATGGATAATGTGAAATCCCAGATATAACAGGTGTGACATGTGACCAATTTAACATGTGACATGTGACCACTTTATGGATAATGTGAAAAGCCAGATATAACAGGTGTGGCATGTCACCACTTTACTGAGAAAGTGTAATCCCAGATATAACAGTGTGACATGTGACCACTTTATGGATAATGTGAAATCCCAGATATAACAGGTGTAACATGTCACCACTTTATGGATAATGTGAAATCCCAGATATAACAGGTGTGACATGTGACCACTTTACTGAGAAAGTGTAATCCCAGATATAACAGGTGTGACATGTGACCACTTTACAGAGAAAGTGTAATCCTAGATATAGCAGGTCTGACATGTGACCACTTTGCTGAGATAGTGTAATCCCAGATATAACAGGTTTGACATGTGACCACTTTACTGAGAATGTGAAATCCCAGATATAACAGGTGTAACATGTCACCACTTTATGGATAATGTGAAAAACCAGATATAACAGGTTTGACATGTGACCACTTTACTGAGAAAGTGTAATCCCAGATATAACAGGTGTGGCATGTGACCACTTTATTGAGAATGTGTAATCCCAGATATAACGGGTGTGACATGTGACCACTTTATTGAGAAAGTGTAATCCCAGATATAACATGTGTGACATGTGACCACTTTACTGAGAAAGTGTAATCCCAGATATAACAGGTGTGACATATGGCCACTTTACAGAGAAAGTGTAATCCTAGATATAACATGTGTGACATTTGACCACTTTACTGAGATAGTGTAATCCCAGATATAACAGGTGTGACATGTGACCACTTTGTTGAGAAATTGTAATCCCAGATATAACATGTTTGACATGTGACCACTTTGTTGAGAAAGTGTAAGCCCAGATATAACTGGTGTGACATGTGACCACTTTACTGAGAATGTGATATCCCAGATATAACAGGTGTAACATGTGACCACTTTATGAGACCACTTTATGGAGAATGTGAAAAGCCAGATATAACAGTGTGACATGTGACCACTTTACTGAGAATGTGTAATCCCAGATATAACAGGTGTGGCATGTGACCACTTTATTGAGAATGTGTAATCCCAGATATAACGGGTGTGACATGTGACCACTTTACTGAGAAAAGTGTAATCCCAGATATAACAGGTGTGACATGTGACCACTTTACTGAGAAAGCGTAATCCCAGATATAACAGGTGTAGCATGTGACCACTTTATGGATAATGTGAAAAGCAAGATATAACAGGTGTGACATGTGACCACTTTACTGAGATAGTGTAATCCCAGATATAACAGGTTTGACATGTGACCACTTTACTGAGAAAGTGTAATCCCAGATATAACAGGTGTGACATATGGCCACTTTACAGAGAAAGTATAATTCTAGATATAACAGGTGTGACATTTGACCACTTTACTGAGATAGTGTAATCCCAGATATAACAGGTGTGACATGTGACCACTTTGTTGAGAAATTGTAATCCCAGATATAACATGTTTGACATGTGACCACTTTGTTGAGAAAGTGTAATCCCAGATATAACAGGTGTGACATGTGACCACTTTACTAAGATAGTGTAATCCCAGATATAACATGTGTGACATGTGACCACTTTACTGAGAATGTGATATCCCAGATATAACAGGTGTAACATGTGACCACTTTATGAGACCACTTTATGGAGAATGTGAAAAGCCAGATATAACAGTGTGACATGTGACCACTTTACTGAGAATGTGTAATCCCAGATATAACAGGTGTGACATGTGACCACTTTACTGAGAAAGTGTAATCCCAGATATAACAGGTGTGACATGTGACCACTTTATTGAGAATGTGTAATCCCAGTTATAACAGGTGTGACATGTGGCCACTTTACAGAAAAAGTGTAATCCCAGATATAACAGGTGTAACATGTGACCACTTTATGGATAATGTGAAAAGCCAGATATAACAGGTTTGACATGTGACCACTTTACTGAGAAAGTGTAATCTCAGATATAACAGTGTGACATGTGACCACTTTATGGATAATGTGAAAAGCCAGATATAACAGGTGTGGCATGTCACCACTTTACTGAGAAAGTGTAATCCCAGATATAACAGGTGTGACATGTGGCCACTTTACTGAGAAAGTGTAATCCCAGATATAACGGGTGTGACATGTGACCACTTTACTGAGAATGTGTAATCCCAGATATAACAGGTGTGACATGTGGCCACTTTACTGAGAAAGTGTAATCCCAGATATAACAGGTGTAGCATGTGACCACTTTATGGATAATGTGAAAAGCCAGATATAACAGGTGTGACATGTGACCACTTTACTGAGAAAATGTAATCCCAGATATAACTGGTGTAACATGTGACCACTTTATGGATAATGTGAAAAGCCAGATATAACAGGTGTGGCATGTCACCACTTTACTGAGAAAGTGTAATCCCAGATATAACAGTGTGATATGTGACCACTTTATGGATAATGTGAAATCCCAGATATAACAGGTTTAACATGTGACCAGTTTATGGATAATGTGAAATCCCAGATATAACAGGTGTGACATGTGACCACTTTACTGAGAAAGTGTAATCCCAGATATAACAGGTGTGACATGTGACCACTTTACAGAGAAAGTGTAATCCTAGATATAGCAGGTGTGACATGTGACCACTTTACTGAGATAGTGTAATCCCAGATATAACAGGTGTGACATGTGACCACTTTATTGAGAAAGTGTAATCCCAGATATGACGGGTGTGATATGTGACCACTTTACAGAAAAAGTGTAATCCTAGATATAACAGGTGTGACCATTGACCACTTTTCTGAGATAGTGTAATCCCAGATATAACAGGTTTGACATGTGACCACTTTATTGAGAAAGTGTAATCCCAGATATG